GAGATTAATAGGAGATAGTTTGTGGTTAGAGAAGACTTTAACCTTTAAAAATGGGTTGTACCTTTAAAGTTTGGAGCCGTTCAAAGACAGTCCTGAGAGGAAAGTTTATAGCCATGAGTGCATATATTAAAAAGACGAAAGATCTCAATCATGACCTAATGATACATCTCAAACTCCTGGAAAAACAAGAACAAGCAAAATCCCAAAACAAATAGGAGAGAATAATAAAAATAAGAGCTTGAAATCAATGAATAGAAACCAAAAAAACCTACAAAGAATTCATGAAACAAAAAGTTGGTTCTTTGAAAAATAAACAAGATTGACAGACCCCTGGCAAACCTAACTAAAATGAGGAGGGGAAAAAACCCAAATTAGTAGAATCAGGACTGCAAAAGGGGAGATAAAAACAAAACACCATGAAAGTCCAGGAAATCATCAGACTACTTCAAGAACCTATATTCAAATAAATTGGAAAATCTTAAAGAAATGGACAGATTTCTAGACACATATGGTCATCCAAAACTGAACCAAGAGGATATTAATCACCTGAATACATCTATAACACAAAATGAAATTGAAGCCACAACCAACAGTCTCCCCAAAATGAAAAGTCCAGGACCTGATGGATTCTCTGCTGAATTCTATCAGATCTTTAGAGAAGAACTGATACCAACCCTCCTTATCAGTGTTCCATGAAATAGAACACGGTGCCTAACACATTTTATGAAGCCAGTATTACACTTATCCCAAAACCAGGCAAAGACACCTCCAAAAAGGAGAACTATAGGCCAATCTCCTTAATGAACACTGATGCAAAAATCCTCCATAAAATAATGGCAAACCGAATTCAACAACACATCAAAAACATCACTCATGACCAAGTAGGCTTCATCCCAGGAATGCAAGGGTGGTTCAACATATGAAAATCAATAAATGTAATAAACCACATTAACAGAAGCAAAGACAAAAACCACTTGAGCATCTCAATAGATGCAGAAAAAGGCTTCGACAAGATCCAACACCACTTCATGATAAAAGCTCTAAGAAAACTAGGAATAGAAGGAAAGTACCTCAACATTATAAAAGCTATATATGACAAACCTACAGTCAGCATTATACTTAACTGTGAAAAACTGAAACCATTCCTTCTAAAATCAGGAACCAGACAAGGATGCCCACTATCTCCACTCCTATTCAACATAGTACTGGAATTCCTAGCCAGAGCAATTAGGCAAGAAGAAGGAATAAAAGGAATACAAATAGGTAAAGAAACTCAAAGTATTCCTATTTGTAGACGATCTGATCCTATACCTTAAAGACCCAAAAAACTCTACTCAAAAGTTCCTAGACACCATCAACAGCTATAGCAACATAGCAGGATATAAAATCAACATAGAAAAATCAATAGCATTTCTATACACTAATAATGAACAAACTGAGAAAGAATATATGAAAACAATTCCATTTATAATAGCCTCAAAAAAAATCAAGTACCTAGGTGTAAACTTAACAAAGGATGTGAACGACCTCTACAAGGAAAACTATAAACTTCTGAAGAAAGAGACTGAGGAAGACTATAGAAAGTGGAGAGATCTCCTATGCTCATGGATTGGTAGAATCAACATAGTAAAAATGTCTGTACTCCCAAAAGTAATCTACATGTTTAATGCAGTTCCCACCAAAATCCCAATGACATTCATCAAAGAGATTGAAAAGTCTACTGTTAAATTTATATGGAAACACAAGAGGCCACAAATAGCCAAGGCAATACTCAGTCAAAAGAACAACGCTGGAAGTATCACAATACCCGACTTCAAACTATATTACAAAGCAATTTAACAATAAAAACAGCATGGTACTGGCACAAAAACAGACATGAAGACCAGTGGAACAGAATATTGGACCCAGATATGAAGCCACACAACTATAACCAACTTAGCATTGACAAAGGCGCTAAAATATATGATGGAGAAAAGACAGCCTCTTCAACAAAAACTGCTGGGAAAACTGGTTAGCAGTCTGCAAAAAAACTGAAACTAGATCCATGTTTATCACCCTATACCAATACTAACTCCCAATGGATCAAGGATCTTATTATGACCCCAAACTCTAAAGTTGGTACAGGAAAGAGTAGGAAATACTTTGAAATTAATAGGTACAGTCAAGAACTTTCTCAATGGAACCCCAGCAGCTCAGCAACTAAGAGATAGCATAGATAAGTGGAACTTGATAAAACTAAAAAGCTTCTGCTCAACAAAAGAAATAATCTCTAAACTGAAGAGACCACCCACAGAGTGGGAGAAAATATTTGCCAGCTACACATCAGACAAATGACTGATAACCAGAATATATAGGGAACTCAAAAACTAAATTCTCCCAAAATTAATGAACCAATAAAGAAATGGGCAAGTGAACTACACAGAACTTTCTTAAAAGAAGAAATTCAAATAGCCAAAAAACACATGAAAAAATGCTCACCATCTCTAGCAATAAAGGAAATGCAAATTAAAACCACAATAGGATTCCACCTCACCCCTGTTAGAATAGCCATCATTAGCAACACCACTAACAACAGGTGTTGGCGAGGATGTGGGGAAAAAGGAACCCTCTTACACTGCTGGTGGAAATGTAAACTAGTATAACCGCTCTGGAAAAAAATTTGGAGGCTACTTAAAAAGCTAAACATTGATCTACCATTTGATCCAGCAATACCACTCTTGGGGATAAACCCAAAAGACTGTGACACAGGTTACTCCAGAGGCACCTGCACACCCATGTTTATTGCAGCACTATTCACAATAGCCAAGTTATGGAAACAGCCAATATGCCCCACTACTGATGAATGGGTTAAGAAAATGTGGTACTTACACATAATGGAGTTTTACTCAACCATGAAGAAGAATGAAATGTTATCATTCACAGGTAAATGGATGGAATTGGAGAACATCATTCTGAGTGAGGTTAGCCTGGCCCAAAAGACCAAAAATCGTATGTTCTCCCTCATGTGGACATTAGATCAAGGGCAAACACAACAAGGAGATTGGACTTTGATCACATGATAAAGTGAGAGCACACAAGGGAGGGGTGAGGATAGGTAAGACACCCAAAAAACTAGATAGCATTTGTTCCCCTCAATGCAGAGAAACTAAAGCAGATACCTTAAAAGCAACTGAGGCCAATAGGAGAAGGAGACCAGGAACTAGAGAAAAGGTGAGATCAAGAAGAATTAACCTAGAAGGTAACACACATGCACAGGATATTAATGTGAGTCAACTCCCTGTATTAGCTATTCTTATGTCAACTAGCAAAAACCCTTGTTCCTTCCTATTATTGCTCATACTCTCTCTTCAACAAAATTAGAGGTAATGGCAAAATAGTTTCTGTCTGGTAGCGAGGGGTAAGGGGGGTAAGGGAGGGGGCTGGGGGGGCGGTAAAGGAGGGGGTGGGGGGAGGGGGGAGAAATTACCCAAACATTGTATGCACATTTGAATTTTAAAAATTATATCTAAGTTAAAAAAAATAAAAGTTTGGACCTGTTGATACCACCTGACAATCTTATTTTTTCCAGCTTTTTGTATTCCCAAGATATTTTTTCTTTTTGGTGAGAATTGAACCCAGGGCCTGTTCATGCTAGGCAAACACTGAACTATATCCCCATCCCAAGGGTACTATTGTTGAAACTGTTCTTCCTCAGCAATAATAACTACATTTCAGATTTGAATTTTTTACATTTTTTTGTGGTTCTCCCCATTCTCTTCAGTTCCAGAACTATGTTAGTTAAACATGATCAATCCAAAACCTACTCATTATGTAATGGTAAAACACCTTCCTCATATTGAATAATTGTGTAATTTTTCATGAATTAACCACAACAGAAACTTGAGAATCATCTAGAATTTCTGACATATTATTTTGGCATAATTTCTGCTTCTACACCATTGTGCTGTCATTTAATAAGTCCATTTGATTCTGCCTTATCTCTGATCTGCCATATTTATATTATGACTTAACTCTCTTTATGTTGTTATTAATACACCAATAGAAATTAGATAGAAAATTAGAAATATCGTTCAGCATAGTTCTTCATGAGTAGTGTTCTATAGATCCTCACATCTTGTTTTCAGACTCGGGCTCCTCTTTCCCCCATTGATATCAGCATATGTCTTTGAGAATGCTTATGCTTCCTGGTTTCTGAATCCAGTTTCCTCACCTTTAAAGTGGGGACAGTGATTGAAATACTCTAACAAGGGTCTTAGGCCAACTAAGTGAGCTAACCAGATACATTTTATATTAAAATTCTTACATCAATGCAAATTTAGATGAAATTCGATCATGATTGGCTCCTCTCTTCATCACAGCCCTGATTCTCAAATGGGTAGGTTCAAATTCTTGAGTGAGGGGCAGAAGTGCATAGTAGAACAAGGTTGGAGTGGGAAACATCAGACAGGGGACACTGACAAGAGTTTCTATATCCTCACTAGTTTTATAAGCCAGTTTTTGTGACTCAAGCTAAAAATATAGCACCATCTAATTATTAGAATTCTTGCTTAGACTTTGCCTCTTCCTCCTTTTCTCCTTCCCTCCATGCTTATTGCATGACAGGCAGACACTATACCACTGAGTTATATATCCAGCCCCAGTATTGAGTTTTCTTGCTTCAAACATAGAAAGCCATAGAATGCCTTTCCCTTTCTTTACGTCCTTCAACAAAAGTATTCTTTCAGGTAGGTATTGTAAATTTTATATTAACTTTCTCAGTATTTTTACATATGTAATTATGTGTGTATATAGATACCTTCTGCTTTTATAGCTGCCTATTCCTTTTTTAAAAATTTTGAACTTTGTACATGTTGTTCTCAGTTTCCATCTGTTTCTTCTCTTCCTTTTTTAGTTGAGTTTGGAGGTTCTTAAGACTGACATTGATAATGATGATCTGGGAGATGGAAAAACTTATATTCATGTTTGTATTTCATTACACTGAAAGGATACAGATTAAAATTAGCAGAGAGAAAAGGTACATGGTGTGAAGTCCAAGAGAAAGTAGATGGCAAGCTTCTAGGCTTTCCTTTCCAGTGTAGTTGAACAGTGAGATAATCCTCCCAGGGACAATACTGGACAATACACAGGAGTTATGCTAAGCAGGGAATCTCACCTGAGCCTTGTCATCTCTGATTTTTATTTGGGAAACAGTTTTGGAGGCAGGCAGTCCCCATTGGACTGACAGTAGCTACTTAGACTCTGATCCAAGAGGTGAACTTGAATACAGTAGGCCCCAGGCATTTTCCTGTAAGTCATACTGTTACCAGGTGCTGTCTGGCCAAACTAATACACTGTGGCCAGTAGGCCTCAGACACATTAAAACATTCTTTGGAGATAGACTATTCCATAGGCTCAGAGGTCATCTCCCAGGAACCAGTCTTTACTGTCATGCTATGCAAATATTTTAACTGTAGACTTGAATTTGTGTTAACATATGTATATCTCCTGGGAGACTCGAGTGATATTCCAGCTTTTAGAATGGGGTGTGTGTGTGTGTGTGTGTGTGTGTGTGTGTGTGTGTGTATGCACATGTGCAGGAACATGTTTTGAGGCAGAGTCTTGTGATTCTCCTGCTTTAGCTTCCTGAGTAGCTTGGGAGTATATGTGCTCACCACCATGCCTGACCAAAATGCTATATTTATTTACATTTTCATTTTCTATCATCTATGCATGGTTCTGTAGTTTGTGTACTATATAATTCTTGAGGACTTTGTTTATATCAGTCTCTCTGTGTTGCTTCCTGTAGTTGTAGATTATAAACTATAAACATACACTTGTATTGAACCCTTTTATGAAGGCGTAGATTGTCTTTTTTTTGAAGAAGGTCTTGAAAGGTAGTATAGGCTGGGTTTGATCCTTCTGCCTTAGCCTCCAGGGTGTTGGGATTACTGGCTTGTGGTACCATGTGCAATGTAGATTATGTCATTTATACATGTGTATCTTCAGTTCCAGAGCTGAAACACAAGTAGTTTGTTGTATTGACTTTGGTGATGATTAGCAGTTTATCTTTTGTGATAAACACTAACAGGTGAAAGCACAGATGATCTTTCTTCCTGGAGTAGCATAAATTAAAGTATCTCTGAGCCAAGTCAAGATTTATTAAGTGATAGATGGTTTGTTTTCTGTTGCTGCAACAAAATTACCGTAAATTTGGTGGCTTAGAGCAATACATATCTTAGTCTCTTACTGTTCTGAAGGCTAGAAGTTTGAAATCAGTTTCATTGAACTAAAGTCAGAGTTTTGGCAGGACAGACTGACTGCACAGGCTCTGGGGGATAATCCACTCTGGTCCCTCTCAGTTTCTAGTGGCCACCTTTCTTGACTTGTAGTTCCTTCTTTCATCTTCATCGTACACCACTCCAGTCTCTGCTTTTGTCACCAATTGTCTGTATTTCCTATTCCAACAACCTTAATTTAATCACCTCTGACAATCATGGGTTTTGAAAATTAGGAATTTCTCTAGGCCATTATTCAGCCAATTACATGTTATAATAAAGAAGTACTTTCTTGGGGGTGAATTTTAATGCAGGCAAATAACTCCACAGGTTATTTTCCTCAATTCTTGCTGCTTATTTTGTGGTCTCTTTTGTGACATCTGACTAATTCCATATGGGCATGATGTACAAATTCCTTTTTTCCCTTTGAAGAATATTTAATGTTGCATTTTGTGTTTTAGTTGGCGTAATACGGTGTCCAGTATGCCGCCAAGAATGCAGACAGATAGACCTTGTGGATAATTACTTTGTCAAAGACACATCCGAAGCCCCTAGCAGTTCTGATGAGAAATCAGAACAGGTATGCTTCTCAATTTTTCTTTCTATTCCTGTCTTGATATGAAAATGTAAATTATAAGAAAAACATGTTTGAATACGTTATTTATGGTACTTCTATTATGTACTTCTTTCAAATTCAAAATAAAGAATAGCTTTTTCTCCTACATCTTCAAACTTGGTTAAATGAAACTAAAAGTTATTTACTTAAAAAAAATCAGTGACCAGGCATGGTAGCCCATGCCTGTAATCACAGGTACTCAAGAGGCCGAGATGGAAGAATTGTGGTTCAAGGCCAGCCTGGGCAAAAATGTTAGTGAGACGTCACCTCAACAAGACAAGGTGGGTGTGGTGATGCACGTCTGAAATCCAATACGCAGAGGCATAGGTAGGAAGATCACAGTCCAAGGCCCGCCCATGCAAAAAACTCGATACACTGTATGAAAAATAATCTAAGAGCATCAAGGGCCAGGGGTGCGACTCAAGTAGTAGAGTGCTTATGCAAGGCCCTGAGTTCCAACCTCAGTACCACCAACCCCCACACCTCAAAAAAATAAAACATAGGCTTTATGTTCTGAGCCTTAGAATTTTACCTACCTAAATGTTTGATCTGAAAGGAAAGGGATTTTGTTGAAGATAGTTTAAAAATTTTTATTCTTTGTGCAATGATTTAGTATATTTGAGAATAAGTTAGAAAATTTTTCATTGCTTCATTTTGTGGATCAATGTTTGGTAAACTTAATGTAGATTAGAATTTACATTTCTTGTTTTAGGTATGTACTAGTTGTGAAGATAATGCAAGTGCTGTTGGCTTTTGTGTAGAATGTGGAGAGTGGCTATGTAAGACATGTATTGAAGCACATCAAAGAGTAAAATTCACTAAAGATCACTTGATCAGGAAGAAAGAAGATGTCTCAGGTAAGATAAATATAGTGATTACAATTAACCTACCTCTCAGTCCAGTAGAATGTTGTACTTATTTGTAAACTTTGAATACTAGCATCAATGAGAATTTAGAAAATTAGCTGGGTGTGGTGGCGCACGCCTGTAGTCCCAGCACTTGGGAGGCTGAGGCAGGAGGATTACAAATTCAGGGCCAGTCTGGCCTACATAGCAAGACCCTGTCTCCAGAAAACAAAAAAACATTTAGAAAATTAGTCAAATTTTATTATGTTTAAAAAATATTTGTTTTATTTTGCTACAGAGTCTGTTGGAGCATCTGGTCAGCGTCCTGTTTTCTGCCCTGTACACAAACAAGAACAGTTGAAACTTTTCTGTGAGACATGTGATAGACTGACATGTAGAGACTGTCAGCTATTGGAGCACAAAGAACATAGGTACAGAGCCACAATTGCTTATGGGAAGCGTGAGGAGCACTTGTAAAGCTAATTCTTCTTAAAGCAAATCTCAGCTGCCAACCCCCTAACTTTGTGTTTTAGCATTTCAAACTCAAATTTTATGGATTTTATTTCTTTTTTATTGGTGTATATTAATTGTATATAGCAAGGGTTTCATTATGACATTTCTGGGTATTTTGTTTCTTGAAGTGTTTTTCCCTTACTATCTTATGTAGATTTGTCAAAATGTAGCATTATATGGATTTGGGTCTGCAAAAATGAAATTGTACTATTTCTTTGTTTGCTGTTCCTATAGTTGAAATAAGCTTTTCCCATCTGTAATGTATTTAGGTTGTAGGCTCTAATCAGAAAAGGCAGTAGTCTCATGGATTTGGCTAACTGACATCCATCTTGACATCAAAGCACAAATATACTGACTTCATATTAGATCTGTGGTTTACAGGAGATCTAGAAATTTATAAGTAGCTAAGTAAATGTGGTTAATAAGTAGTTAAGTATTGACCATATTTTAACTGAATCAGTAATATTCATGTATGATACTGTTTCCTCTGAATTGTTTTAGAATTGTGCTGAAATTTTGAGTCAGGTATTTAACTCTGTGTGTGTGTGTGTGTGTGTGTGTGTGTGTGTGTGTGTGTGTGCGCGCGTACACACACATATAACAAAATTCTTGTAAATTTCTCTGGTTTCCTTGACATATTTTTATTACAAACAAAAAAGATGGTCTAGTCTACCTATAATGTAGAATTTTGTGGTATTTTTTCCTAAGAATAGTTTTACTGAATGGATAGATGGAAGTAAATTTTATGAGTCTGTTTGTCAAGCAAGGGTAGGAGAAGTTGAATTTACCACACTTAAGTGTAGGGTGTGTGTACTTTTTTTGTTTTTTAATGTTTTATTTTGTTGTGGTACTGGGATTTGAACTCAGGACCTCATGCTTGCTAGGCAGGTGCCCTACCGCTTGGGCCATTCCACCAGTCCTGTTTTGTGGCTAGGGTCTCTCAAACTTTTGCCTGGACTGGTTTCCAACTGTGACCCTCCTGATCTCTGCCTCCTAAGTAGCTAGGATTATAAGTATGAGCCACTGGCACCTAGTTGTTTTATTAAATTGTGAGATGGGGTCTTGCTGTCTTGTCCGGACTAACCTCCAACTTGTAATCTTCCTGCCTCATGTAGCCTTCCAAGTAATTCCAGGCAACTACCATTATATCTGGCTTAAATATTCCCCTCCCCTTTCCTCCGATTACTGCCCAGTAGCAGCTGTTTTGTTTTGTTTCCTCATGTTGTATATTGAATATAACATTCAGAAGATTTTCTAGCTCAAAATCCTAGTGGTTGCCACAGGGTGACACTTACAGGCTTTTCCCATAAACTCTAATCTGCATAAGAATGTGTTGCTGACTCTTCCAAAATCACATCTGAGTGTTGCATAGTGGCTTAAAACTATTGAGAGAAGAGATTACTTTGTTGTAATTTAGACATGTCCTGCCTTTGTTCAGGCCTCTCAAGTACAGGCTTCTTTGGGATGATTTTGTGTGTGTGGATGGCTTTTATTTTTTTAATCTTTTATTATGGAAAAATTAAAACATTCACAAAAGTAGAATAATAAAATGAACCTCATTTCCCTAGCACATAGCTTGCTTTATTTATTTTTGAGATAATGTACACCCTCTTATTTGCCCCTTCCCCTGCCTTGGTTATTATCAAGAATACCCCAGACATCAGGAATGTCATTCTTTACCTGTGTCATACATTGTACCACAAATGTGCTGGAGACTGTGTTTAATTATTTTCTGAATAGTCCAGTATACAGATGGTCCAGACTTACAGAGGTTTGACCTAGAATGTTGCAAAAGTGATATGAATTCAATAGAAACCATACTTTGAATTTTTAATTTTGTTCTTTTCTCAAGCTAGCAGTGTGTGCGGTATGATCCTCACTCTCAATGCCAGGCAATGTCAAGGAACCATGCTTTGTGGTAGTTTTAATGATAGGACCTGGTGGTATTCCTAGATGTGGGGTAAATGTCCTTCAAAACACAAAAATATCAACCATTGCTGGCTTCTTGTTTACTACTTAGAGTAAGTGGCAGTAGCAGTTTGTTTTTCTTCATTTGTGAAATGTCATGGTCCATGTTATTTCTAAGAGTTTCATCCATTTTGGACTCAGACTGTTGTTTAAATGGTAGAAATCTTGAGGCCCTGTGTTCAGTCCTCGGTACTGTTAAAAAAAAAATTCAACTTTTTATGCAGGCCTGTGGACTTACATTGAATATTTCAATGAGCTTGTGTTGGGCATGTATGTTTACTATTGCATTTAAATCAGTTCTATCTTGGTCTTCAGTTTCTGATATCATGATATCAATATATAATGTATGAATGTATGAAACTTGCATCAAGTCTAAGTCTTTGTCTTTTGTTTTTTTTCACTTCCCAGTGAAGTCAAGTTCACTGGGGTTTGAACTTGACTTCATGCCTGCAAAACAGGCATACCTGTTTTGAGCCATACCTCCAGTACATTTTGCTCTGGTTATTTTGGAGATGGTATCTCAGGAACTGTTTGCCTGGGTTGGATTTGAACCTCAAGCCTCCCAAACTCAGCCTCTGAAGCAGATAGAAGTGAGATATGAATTGAAATTACTTAGTGGCAATATGTTAAATGTAAGGTAGAACCCTCTTATATGAAGGCAAATTGTGGTTGGCTCTTTTTTTAGATGGAGACAGAAAAAACATGAGCAAGATTAGTCAGTACCACATCCTTTGGCCTGCTCCATAATTTTTGTACTAAGACCATATCAGGTACTGTGTATGCAATGGTGGCACTATTTTATCCTTTGTGGTTGGTTGTTAGTCTCTATGAGCAATCTATTTTTCCACAGGCCACTATGGTTATTGCACAGAGCATTCATTGTCACCAACTTCTCATTTTTTTTTTATTAAAATGGTATTCTTCTTGTCTGCCAGATAGAACCTGTTGTCCCAAGTTAGTCTGTAGATTTGAGCAGTTCTGGTGGTTTCCATGTCTGATCAAGACTCACCTTAAGGTGAGCTTCCATGCTTTCCGTTGGACGATGCTTACCAGTGATGTGTTCTCTAGTCAGACATTAATTATATCCATCCCAATAATAATGGTCAGGCAAAGAAGATGTAACTAGTTTACAGAAAGTCTGTGCAGCACTCTAATTTTAATGTAAAAACTTGCCTTTCTCCCATCAGCCATTGTCACCTCCCAGTCTGACATCTATTAAGAAAGTAGATTTTGAAATCCTGCTGCATTGGGTTTTCCTGTCAAGGAATTAAATTGTCTTTATCTATCCCCTGGTTTTTTGCCCATTTGTGTTTACAGATGTGCCTTGAACAAATGTGAGTTTGAACTGCATGGGTCCACTTAGAAGTGGATTTATTTATTTATTTATTTATTTATTTGCAACAATCTGAAAAGACTCAGATGACTTGTGTATTGAATACAGAAAAAATAAAAAGTTTTGTGTGTTAAGAATGTGTAATATATCTGTCTAGATAATAGTCTGCTTCCTCATTTACTACCATGAAATATACACCAATCTGTTACCAAAAGTTAAAATTTATCAAAACTTAAGAAATACTAATATGGTACAATTCTAGTTGAGAGAAATGTTCTTGTTATGCAAACAGTTTACCACTTGAACTGGCCTTCCTTTTTTTGACTTTTAGTTTGTTCTCCAGATAGAATCTCATACTTTTGCCTATGCTGGCTTGGAACTACCTATCTTTGCCTCTCAGATAGCTGGGAGTATAGATGTACACTTCCATGCCTGGCCCTCCATTAGTAACTTTTACTTCTAGCTGCCGCAGCTGCAGTTCCAGGTAAAAGATTAGGTAGCAGGTATCCAGGAATCAAAACCTTCATGAGTCCTCACCTTCTTAGCCTTCCTCTTTCCAAACCACATATTTCAGTGTATTAGGATCATTCTAGTGTCCCACTCTCCTAATGCCAACTATGAAATTACGGAACATCCTACAAAACACACACACATTTACAATATTTTAAATTTCTGTTCTCTTTTTTTTTTTTTCCTCTCTTTTCTTCTTCTCTCTTTTCCTTCCTCCCTCTCTCCTTTTCTTTCAAGACAGAGTCTTACTATGTAGCCCAGGATGGTCTTAGACTTGATCCTCCTGCCTCAGTCTCCCAAGTGCTGGGATTATAGTTGTGTATCACCACACCTGGCCAAGATCCCAATTACTTATGATAGTAGTTGTGAAAATGATTTCCCAAGACTTCTCTTAGGTTTGATAACTTGCTGGAACTCACAAAATTCACTGAAAACTGTTTTATTCACATCTACATTTATTGTAGCGAAAGGGTACAGATTAAAATCAGCCATAGGAAAGACACTTGGGGCAGAGTCAGTACAGTTTCAAATCTGGTACTTCTAGTTGTATTCTGGTGGAGTCATAGACATTGTTAACCCCTCCTGCAAAGATGTGTGACAATATGCACAGAATATTGCCAAGCAGGGAAACTCACCCAAACTTGGTGTCCAGAATTATTATTGTGGCTCTGTGGTATAAACCTGGTTCACTGCCCACGTGGCGAGCCTCCATCTCTAGAACAGTCCATTCTGAGGTTGATATGATACTATAAGTTATATCATTAACATAGACTTAACCTGGTTTGGCTCAAGGTCCCCACGTAAATAAAGATACTTTCATTAGGCAGGATATTTCAGTGACTTATAGATTATCTGCCAGGAAATGAAGGCAAAAACTAGACATGTCTTTAGGCAAGGTTAAAGTCTTCATATTCTATTATCTTCCTCTTGCACTTGGTTAGCGAGAACACTGATGTTCCAAACTTCTCTGGTTTTGCATATGTGTTTTCTTAGGCTTTATAGATCACTTTATAGATAAGGAGTTATCTGTTAGGAGAGGCATGTAACCTTAAAACTATATCTGTGTTATCTTCACTAATGCTTTCTGCTTCGTTCTTTCTCTTATCT